ATAGTCTTTATCTACTGATAGGTTTACAGCGAGAAAAGTCTTTTTTATGTATGATTGTTAGGGGAGTCCATCCCATTTTCCCGTTGTTCAAATAATCCTATGCCCATTGAGTCCTATTATTATCCCCACAGAATAAGAAGCAAAAAGATTGACCATACCTGTGCTATTGTGACAATATCTCTGAAGTGCCTCAAGTTGTCCAGCTTAGGCAAACATTTAAAGAAAATCAGAGCTAGAATTTAGTATCCATGAAGGTCTATTATTGAAACCTAATTTTTCTCCCTAGTAACCCTCATTTCCAGAGATGGCCAAATCCAGCCTAATTCGCTTGTAAAACACATCTAGTTTGATAAACTTGGCCTAATTATTCAGATAAGCTCAGCAAGAATAGCGATCGAGTATAAGGATCTTTTAATAATTTTTTTTTCAACGTTTATTTACTTTTGGGACAGAGAGAGAGCATGAACGGGGGAGGGGCAGAGAGAGAGGGAGACACAGAATCGGAAACAGGCTCCAGGCTCTGAGCCATCAGCCCAGAGCCCGACGCGGGGCTCGAACTCACGGACCGCGAGATCGTGACCTGGCTGAAGTCGGACGCTTAACCGACTGCGCCACCCAGGCGCCCCTATAAGGATCTTTTAAAGTTTGCTTTGCTGGAACCTTTCACAGGGAATCTCTAGATTGAACTTTTAGTAGCCTTTACAGTCCAGAAGCCAAGCCAAGCACTTGCCATCAGACATGGCTGCAATACCTGTGGAATTGGGTGAATTCCTCTTCACGAGGTCCCCAAGCTATCCTGAGGTTCCTACACCTGCCAGGAAGTGACATGTTTTACGCAACTGGTAAGGCTGCTGGGAACTCTGTGAGCAAGGTTTCAGGCCAACATTTCCAAGGGGCTTTATGGCTCCCTGTTTCATAAAGTCAACCTTAGTTTCTTAGAGCTGTATGGTCATGTCTGAGTCTACTCATGTCTCTCAAACAGGACATTCTGGTCAAAGCCTTGGTAAAATAACCGTATTTCCAATGGCATCCTGTTGCAAGCAGAACAGATCCTTACTGAACTTCTGCAAATGATTCTAATTGTTGTGAACAGATACTCACTGAGGGTCTTTGAATTGTAGAGGGTCTAGGTAGAGAGAAAAGTTAAATGCTCCAGTGTGTACACAAATGAATACTCTATCACATTTCCCTTTGTCATAGGTACCTTAAGAGAAAGTTCCCTTCATCTGGAAGAGCAAACCTTAAAGGACCGGCAATATTTCCAACAAGAGTCACAAAACTCGAACCTGTTCCTCACTTCATTTAGTCCACTGTTCCTAATTCTTGTCCAGTTTGAAGGCAGCTTCTCACCCATTTAAGTATTCATCTTGGAGATGTCAAATACCTCTCTTTGTCCTAAAAATCCTTTTGATTAATCTCCTTGAAGATGAGTATCAGAACCACAACTATAAATGACAAAATGTCAGAAATGGACATGTTCACCATATGATATGAGAGTTCATTATGATGCAGTTAGCAAGGTCATCCAGTGTTCAAAGACACATAATACTTTGATAGTCAGAGTACCAAAGGAAGACCCTGTACCAAAACATTAAAAGTTTAGAAATCACATATATACTTGAACAGTTCTAGAATTTACCCATGCAATACCATTATTTGTTGGAAAGTGGTTCCAGAGTAACTTAATATGCCAGAAAATGCCTAATTGGTAAAAAAAGACTTCATTTATGATTTAAATGCGGTAAAGTTTGCTAAAACCTCAGCAAGCTACAAAGCACATCCTAAATAGGATTACAGATCATTACAAATCGTCAAACTTTACATTATTTATTTAACCAGGATGGCAACAAGAGATCCCAAAGGCAAACATGTAAGGTCATACAGTTGTTAGCAAAACGTAGCTCCTTTAACACTGAGAAGTTTTAACTAAGTAATTAAAGACTTGATGAAAGAGGAACCCTAAAGCTTTGGGCTTTTTCCCAAAGAGAAAAAACTCTTTGTTTGCATTTTCTTATCAAGGGCAGACCAACAATCCAAGAAAACTTTGACTTTGAACAGAGAGAAAAGCAGAATTTCAACCTTATACCAGTGTACTTTTTTTTTTAAATGTTCATTTATTTTGAGAGAGAGAAAGAGAGACAGAGCATGAACAGGGGAGGGGCAGAGAGAAAGGGACACACAGGCTCCAGGCCCCAAGCTGTCAGCACAGAGCCACACATGGGGCTCGAACCCATGAACCGTGAGATCATGACGTGAGCCAAAGTCAGACACTCAACTGAGTGAAGCATCCAGACGCCCCCAACATGAGCTTATTTGACCTTTAATAAACCTAGATAGAATAAGTTTCATATTTAATGCTGATAACCCTAAAGACATGTATATCTTTTTTTTTCTTTTTTTCAACTTTTTTTTTTTTTTTTTTTTTTTGGACAGAGAGAGACAGAGCATGAATGGGCGAGGGGCAGAGAGAGAGGGAGACACAGAATCGGAAACAGGCTCCAGGCTCTGAGCCATCAGCCCAGAGCCCGACGCGGGGCTCGAACTCACGGACAGCGAGATCGTGACCTGGCTGAAGTCGGACGCCCAACCGACTGCGCCACCCAGGCGCCCCTAGACATGTATATCTTAATCAAATTAAATCAACAAACTTAAATTAGTTTAAACACCAAATAAGTTCCACCGGTATCCACTTACAAGATAATATGTTCCCCGTTGTCAATTTTTTAAACTTGGGACACTGGTGGGGAAACCTGAAGTGGGTGGTCCAAGGGGGTGCTCTTTGCTCCTTGACCTTGAGGGAGGAGCCGATGGTGCCTGAGGCACTGAGGGTGGTATAGAAGACAGTTGTGCAGGTCTCACCCAAGGTGGTGCAGAAACAGGAGGAAGGGGATAAGACTGAAGGGGTGAGGTTTGGCCAAGAAGCCTAAAGGTAGATAAAAGCCCAGAGAGCGGAGAGAGGGGGGTCTCCTGGTACTAAAGCCTGTCAACTTGAACAGATGAGCAGATGGCATGTTTTTTCCACCAAAGAAGAATTAGGCGGTCCGTGTCAGGCTGGAGAAGATAGGGAATTTCCCTAAAATGAATGGAGTTTCAGCAGCTGCTTGGGGATATTCCGTAAAGTCCCAGACCCGAGGGAGACTAATCACAATTACCTCCAATTGTAGCCGTTAACCCAGGAAATGAATGAGGGAGAAGCCCTCACACCAGTTAGGAGGAGGAACAGAGAGAAAGAGTCAGCGTCCCCTTGGCTGGAAATGGCCTGTGTTTCCTCCAACAGCCTGGATTCACTTAGAGGAGGCCTATCTAGACATCCAATATGTCAGGGGGGAGTTTACCAGCCAAATACACTTTGGCAAACACATTCTGCAAGAGGCCTTTGGGTCTGGGTCGTGATTTAGAGCTGTGAAGGCCTGGACCTAGGGTACCTCTGTCCATTTGCCCTGTTTACTGCAGAAGAGATCTAACTGCTAGATCCTACGGACGCCATGCAGTATTACAGGAGATCAATCCTTTCCTAAATTTTGCAATCCAAATTGTTTCCAGTGGGTTAAAAGACATCCCAGGGGAGACTCCTTGGAGACAGAGGAGGAGCTCCCATGCTTCTCCTAGAGAGAAAGCGTCTATTATCCTGACAACCGCCCCACCCCCCGGCTCCCTGGTGGTGTCCCAGGCACAGGAAACGTCAGAGGTTCCCGGTGCCAAAGCGACCCGACACAACCCTCAAACGAAATCGCTATGACCACCGACTAGCCGATTAAGGGCTCCTAAAAGAGGGATGTTAGCATCCCTTCGCTTCCCCCAGACTACAGATGGGTGTCTGACGTATGGACGAAATTTGCCTTGCTGAGAAGGACAGTCAACTGTCATTTAGAGCCCGTGGAAAACACTGGAAAAGTTTTGCAAGGGGGAATGACCCAATTTGGTAATTTAAGTAGCAGGTAGTAGAGGACACTGATTGAAAACAGTAAAGGCAGAAATCCACCATGATCTAAGTGACATTCCAACACGTAAGGTCTTCACAGCCAATTTCCCTAAGAAACGGTCCCCGGTTCAATGTTCTTTCAATCGAGTAGTGGTTCCACCAGCTCTCCGTGGGAGGTTCCGAGGCTGGAAGCAGCTAGACCAGAAATGTGGAGGGGATCACCTTAGACCAATGAGGAAGATACCTCACACGGGAGTCATAAGATTGGCAGCCGTGTTAGTCCACTTGGCTACTTGGACAGGTGGCTGTCCCATGCACAAGACAGACAACTTTGCCTGAGGACAGGAATAAAGAGAGGGCACCAAGTTTCTGGGTCTCATTACCACCCCACCCAGGGTAGTAACATCCAGCCAAAAGACAGGCTTTCTCCTCCCCATAAAGTAGACACGGGCTAGAGGATTGCAGCCTGAGCAATCCACATGAAAAGGGTTCCAGTAGGACCATACTTCGCGAAAAGCCCCTAAAATGAGAGTAAAGGAAGAAAAGACAAAGTACCTCAGGAGTGCCTGAGGAATGTCACTTATATCCCACCAGGGGGTGGGGAGTGCTAGCTTCTATTTTGCTCTCAGCCTGCCTTATGCTCCCTCAACACTAGGTCTGAGGGAGGAGGGGTCTGGACTTCAGGGTCCCTGGTTCTTACCCAGCTTCAGGTCCCAACAGCACCCCAGGACCCTGGCTCCGTTGGTCCTGGTTGCTTCCTGACCCCGCTGTTCCCCTTCAGCCTTTGCCTCTGCCCAGGCTCCCAGTACTGGCTGGGGATCCAGAAAAGACAAGAGCAAACCTGGCAGGAAGAGCTGGGAGGGGGCATCCTGTGAGAGGACGGGCCTGAGGGAAGAGATCTGGGTAGGGCTGGTCCTTCCCCACTCCTTGATTCCGGAATTACATCTCAGCCAGGTGGCCCTGTCGTGATGCAGGGACGCATGTTCCCAGGCTCTCCTTCTAGGACAGGAGAGCAGCCCCAGAGCTCTCCTCTCGGAAACCAAGAGTGAGGATCAGAGCAGAGGAAATGAGTCCGGTATTTAGACAACCAGATAAATCTTTATTTGTGCCACGGTACTGTGGCCTTTTCCTTCGGTACCTTCGGAACCTGCTCCTATGAAGGCTGACTCTTTGGGACCTAGCCCTATGGAAGACCCGCCTTGTCAGCGGAGAACCAGGTATTCATGGAATCGATCACCTTCCCAGGCCGAAAGCAAAGGACGCTGGGGGAGGGTGGGGTGCAAATAGCAGAACCAGATTAGGTCCTGAGTGAGGGACACTCCTCCCAGCCTCCCTATATTGGATCTTATTCTCGCAATGACCCCAACTTAGTCAGCAGAGGTAAGCCCCACCCCATCCCCAAGAGAACAACCTCTTCCATTTGGAGGGTGGACATCCCGCCCCTCGCTCCAAGCCCTGACTTCTTCAGTGGGCGACTCACACGGTGAGAATGCCGATGATCAGCACCACAAAGCCCCAGATCAGCAGCCCTATCAGACGGCCTCTCAGCCTATTCTCCAACTTCAGGTACTCTGCCCTCCCGACAGTTAGGGACAGGTCATGCCAGATCTCAGCCAGGGTTCCACTGGTTGATGACCGGGTTACAAACATTGAAGGCTGGGTTACAAAGGTTGAAGACTTGGACGTTGTCTCCACAATGATTCTTTGAGGCAACACTGACGGAAGAAAGGGAAAGAGCAGACCTGAGAGGGTCCCAAGAGCCCTTCGTGGCCCAGGCAAGCTATCTCCACGCCAACCTTCCCCAAACCTAGGCCTTCCAGGAGATAATCGGGACCCTAACTGCAGGAAGCATGGTCCAGGTGAGCAGTGGCCACGCCCAGGACAGGAAGCCACACCCCCATGGCCTGAATCCACATCCCACAGGGAAGTTTTAACCCGCAGGCCACGCCCTGAAGATGGCTGTACCCAAAACCCACGGAACTGAACCCCACACTTCTGTCGACTCCCCAGCACTGACCTGTGACTTCAAAATGGATGATCGTGGATGGGCCATGTCGCTCAGTGCCCAACTCGCAGCGGTAGGTACCTGCATCCTCTGGCCCCACGAGGGGCTTGGTCAGGGTGGGTCGTTTCCCCTTGTACACCAAGGTCTCAGAATTGCTCCCCCAAACCTAGACCCAAGTTCAAGAGATCACAGAGGCCTGGGGAATTCAGGCCTTAGGGAGAACAGAGGTGAGATCATCACGGGATCTCAGTGGGGAAGATGGGAATCCAGGGTGTACTGGTAAGGGCATGGGGTCCCCGGGGATCCGTGGAAGGCAAACCTGGTAGGTCATGGGTCATGGGGATTGTGGGAACAAGCTTGTGGATACAGGGGTCGGCGCTCACACAAGCCTAATGGACTTGGGGTTGAAAGTCCCACCCTGTAAAAGCTGTAGTTGGTCAGGCCTTCAGATAATTTATGCCAGTTGAGTTCACAGTCCAGGACCAAGTCTTCCTTTTCATGGACGTTGATTTGGCGCACTGGGGACGAGGGTTATGGTGGGGTGCTTCCTCATGGTTCCAGGCCCTCCATCCACTCCCTCCCACAGGGTCCAGGCCCTTCTTTGCTAACAGGCAGGCTTCAGTCTCCGCCCTGTCAAGACTCCATCTCTCCTCTGGCTCCGCCTCTCCTGCGCCAACCCCTCCCGTTGGCCCCAGCCTCTCACCTCCGCAATCTGTGGACTTTCGACAAAGGTAAAGGTGCTTTCTGCATATGTGACACCAGAGCAGAAGCTGCAACATCGTACCTGAGGGGAGAGATCAAGGCTCTATTTATCCTAACAGAGGAGGCTAAAAGGAGAGGGCAGGGTCAAGGGCTGGGGAGGGATCAGGCGCCTAATCCCTAGAGGTCAGCCCAAGGGGCGGGACTAGAAGGCAGACCTGCCGGAAGAGGGACCTAACCGGGCTCAGTGAGGAGCCCACATGGAATAGGACCAGGAAGTCCGCTGTGAGGAAGGACTACTGGGGACCAGGAACCTCTCAGACGTGGGGAAGGAAGAACCGTCGAGATCCAAAGCAGGAGGAGAAAGGCTGGGTATTCACGGGGCAAGGATGAGGGATAAAAAAACCATCTTCCATAATCTGGACTCACCACATTTGTTGGGACAGAAATCTGCCTCAGAAGGAAGAAAAAAAAAACGGCATCAGGTTTCTAAGCTAAAGGACATGAGAGAGGGGGAGAAGGAATAGGTGGGGGTTTGGGCTCTTGGGTTGGAGGGAGGAAGGGCCCGGGTGCCTGGAGGTCTGGGTCCAAGGGAGAGCGCGGTCGGGAGAGGTAAGGGGATGGACATAGAAAGCAGGGGCTGGGGACATAGACCCTGGGACTGGTGGCGGAAGGGGCTGTGGTCCCGTACAGAACCCATATTCCCTCACCCTCTCTTTGGAACCGAACGACGTAGCTCCGAAAGCTTTCTTTTTCCCGAGTCAACATCTCAGAGAACTCCTTCTCTAAAGTGTCATCTGGAAAAGCAGCAGGGTGACGTAAAGTGCTTCCCCTCCGCTCCCCACCCCAGGAGTGAGGTACAGGAAGTTTGTCTCTGTCTGAAGGGCATGCCAATTCCCGCTGGGGACTTCTCAGGGAGCGACAATGAAATTGAATGACCACTTAACCACGCCGGCCACTGAGCTAAGCGAGGGCTGGTGTCCAGGCAC